AAATTCACGTCTGCTTCCAGAATCTCCAAATGTGTCCTTATTTGCAAATAGGGTCTTTGCAGATGCATTTAGTTAAGGACCTGGAGATGATATTATATTGGATTTAGGGTGGGCCCTAAATCCGATGACTTGTGGCCTTATCAGAAAAAGAGAGGACGCAGAAACAGAGAAGAAGGCCATGTGAAGATGGAGCCAGAGGCTGGAGTGTTGCAGCTCAAACCAAGGAACCCCAAGGACTGCAGAGATCTTCCAGAAGCTGGAATGTGGCTCTGTCGACATCTTAATTTTTTCATCTTAAACTATGAGAAAATTAATTTCTCTTGTTTTAAGCCCCCTTTTTACAGTAATTTCTTCAGGCAACCCTAGGAAACTAATACTCTTCTCAAAGCAAGTCACATTATCATGCCCCAATTCAAGGGGCCCAGGAGACCCAGTCCTGCTGTGCTGAAGAGCATCCCTTAGATCCACTTTCTCCCCTTCCACACTCTGAGCTTGCGACCGCATAAACATACTCCTTTCTGTCTAACTTCTGGTTGACATTTGCCCAAAGCAGGAGTTCAGAAGATGGGAAGAGAGAGAAAAGTTAGGATGTTTACTTGGACACCTTCCTCTCCACCAGGCCGGAAGTGGCTGTTCCTCCTCCGAAGGTAGCAGCTGGTGCAAGGGAGCTCCTCCAGTTTCTCCTTCCTCTCAGGGTTCTCAGGGTAACCATTCTTCCCCGTGCACCTCCAGAGCTAGAGTGCAGGGGAAGACAGCTGTTGTTAGCTAACAACACTTTTCCTTTTCTTGTCACTTGCCCTTAACCCTACCGACACACTTGTAAACAGTGCCTTTATTAATCTCAGTATCTTCATTTGAGCGGCCATCTGTTTTCTGCTGAGACTCAGTGGATACACACATCGTGCAACTAGGAGGAGAGCTGGAAAGTTGGTGGACACAGTGGGGACGTCTTCACTGAGCTGAGAAGCCACACTAGTGAAGCAACTGCAGTGAGAGTGACAATCTCATAGTTGCTTCCCCTCATTCCCACAGAGGAAGGAGCCTGAGCTCAGCAGCGGGACACATATAGATCCACCATTTATTACCTGTGATATGACTCTCTCTCATCCTCAGTTTCTTCATATGCACAATGGGTATAACAATACTTCCCTTACTGGGGTGTTTCAAGATCCAGGAAGATAAATACAAAAAGAACCTAACCGTGGTAGGCAGAATAATGCCTCCCAAAGTCCTAGTCCCTGGGAATCTTGGAATATGTTACTTTACATGGCTTGTGGGTGTGATTAAGTTTACAGACCTTAAAATGGGGAGATTATCCGGGATTCCCCCTGAGGGACCAATCTAGTCGCTTGAGTACTTAAAAGTGGAAGGGGAGACAGAAGAGGCAGCCATGGAAATGTGACAGGGAAGGGGAGGCAGTGGAGGCACAACAGGAGAAGGCTTTAATGTGTCCTTGCCGCTACACACAGCTACGTGAAGGAGGCCTGTACATGCTATCCCCTACCGAGATGGCAGCCAGAAAGGAAGCGGGAACCTCATCTTACAGACATGGAGTTCTGCCAACTGCCTGAATGAACCTGAAAATGGACTCTCCCCCAGAGCATTCAGAAGGGAAAGCAGCCCAGACAACGCCTTCATTTTGGCTATGGGAGTCCAGAAGCAGAGAAGCCACTGCACTTCTACAGAATTGTGAGATAATAAATGGGTACTGCTTAAAGCCCCTAAATTTGTGATAATTTGTTCTGGCAGCAACAGTCAATAAATACACTGGCATGGTAAAAGCTTGGTGCATATTGTGCACCCACTACATGTATGTTATCTGTCCTCAGAGAGGGAAGTTAGGCAAAGTAGAAAGCGGCCTTCCCAGGACCCCAAATACGACGTGCTCTCAAAAAAATATGCCTGCTGTGATTTTACAACTAACCTAGAAGCTGGCTTTCTCTAGTGCTTTCCAGCTGTCATGAGTATGGGCCCCCTACCTGAGCCGCCTCCAGTCACAGCAGCAAGAGGAATAAGAAGTGCCATGCTTCTCCCGATCTAGGCAAAACAAGCCGGGGCACAGCGACATCCAGATGGAAATTCACACCAGATCGCACTGTCATCTCTCCGGTAGGCTATCCCCTACCTGGAACCACCAGTCCTGCCATCCTCCTACTTGAAGGCAGTTTCTGTTTCTAATATTTTCTCCTAATTGAAGCACAGGCTAGGAAGAAGATCATTTCATGCTGCTGGAGACTTCCTTCTGTTTCCCTAAGCCAAATCCATCTCTCTTACTGCACGCCAATATCTTCCATCTGCCTGACCATCTAAACCCAGACCTTGCCTATTGAGCAGAGACACTCATTGCTATGCTGCTTTATTTGATGACTGGGGCAACTATGCTTTAATAAGTGGGTCAAGTTGAAATAGTTTCCTAGGACCATGGGCCCTGAGCCAGGTGACAGAGATGTGGGTCCCTCAGTGTTCAACCACCAGCAACCTGTGCAGAAGAGCATGGGGATTAAGGGCTGCCCACTGGGCACAGACTTGCGTCTCTAGCTTGAATCAAAACTGTAGTCACTGCCCACTCACGGTGCCTCTCCAAGGTTTCAGACCAGCAATTGGTGATCCTTTAGATAATAGTTTTTGCTATTCTTCTAGGAGGTTCACTTCACTATAAGGAGATTGTAATAATAAGAGCTAATATTGATTGTGTGCTTACTGTGCACCAGGCACTACGCTACATAGCTGTAAAAATGTTCATATTAAATTCTCAAAGCAATTTAAAGAGTTAATTTCTATTTATTTTTATCATCTAGTTTTAGAAATCAGGAAAATAGGGCTCAGAAGGGTTAAGTGACTTGTTCAAGGTTAACCATAGTATGCAGCTAGAACTGAAATTCAAATTTGGGCTAAAGTGTTTCTGTATACTACATATTACACTGATTTTCTTGGTTGAGTCAACACACACAGAGCTCTTAGGTATTGCCTACACACTGTGATAGAGCCTGGAAATACAAATATACCCAGGCAAAGTCTCATTTTCTCCTAGCTAACATGATAGAAAAGGAGACAGATATGTACAAAGAAATATATAGATACATTTTATTAGCAGCATAAACACAGTGCAATGGAAGAGATAATTAGATGTTATAGGGTGAGAAAAAAAGTAGGAAAAAGAGGACAGGAAGATAGACATAACCCAGAGAGACAGAGAGAGAAAAATATAACAAGTAATCAGGGGCAAAGTACTCATTATTCCTCTTTCCCTTTGTTTCCTCAGTGCTAAAATGGAGACCATAACTCCCATTCCAAGGCTGTTATGAAGATTAATTTTGGTAATAAATCGAATGTGTATTATCTCTGTTCAAAACATTCAAATATGAATTACTCTCTCACCTTCCACCCAAGATACTTCTTATGTAAAGATAAGATGAGCTCAAAATCGCCCCCCCCCCCCAAAAAAAACCGCTTGGAAGTGTTAAAAGAGAAACAGAAATGTAAGGTAGTTTGATACTGGAGAAGGGAATACAAGGTTATCTCAAAGAAAAGATCATCAAAACTAGGCAGCTTGCTTTGGATTCTGTCTCCTTGAATAGGCCTCTTCTTGCCCCACTGTCAAAACAAATTGCAGACAGATTCTCCAGAGCAGAGGTGGTCACTGAGGCGGCCTCTTATTCACCTGACTTGAGATTACTCCATTCTGCACAAAGCTACATTAAGCACACGTAGCCTCAGAAGCTCCTGGTATAAAACCGAGCATCCTTCCAACTCTACCTCTCAAGGTTGGGGACAGTCCTTCCCACTCACTCTTCAGCTTTAGGGGGGTTGGTTGGTCTCCGAGACAGCTGACAGCCTTATTTAGCCAACCAGCTGCTCTGTGATACACGATGTCCCGATGTCCCGAATGAATGCTCCGAGTCTGGTGGGTGATTCTTTTGTATGCATATAAGCAGCAGTTGAAGGAAAATCCATCAGTCCCTCTGATAGCCTCAAGGTGTCAAGGCTGCCGTTCAAATCATGACCACCATAATTGTTAACCATTGTGTTAGTGAAATATCTGTTTTCCTTTCTTTTTTTTTAATCATTAAAAACATTCAGATTTCACTGGGACAATGCTTGCCTCAAGTCACATCCACACATTTATTAAGCCTTTCCTGTTTGCTCAGTTGAACAGAAGTCTTAGAGGAGGAAATCCTTAAAATACTCTCTGATTTTAAAGAATTGATAACGCAGTGGTAAAGAGGTTTACACAAGAAACTCATTACAAAAAGTTACATAGTGTGTAATGCACTGCTACCGAGTGTCAGTATTACCGAGTGGAAATTTTATTTCCTGGATTTTATTACTATGAAGATGGGGTGCGATGGATGAGCTATGCCATAGGTAGAGGACTTGGAAAAGTGGGATATAGTGGTGGGAAATTGCTTTCTTTTCCAGCAGGTAAGAGTGAAACAAGCAAAGGAACTGACAGGATAGCAGCTTAGTAGGGTAGCCACCAGACCCTGATTTGTAACAAGAGAGTTCATCATTTAGGATAAATTTACAGGTAGCTTTAGAAAGGGCTTTCGCTTCAGTTTGAATGATGCGCCTGTATAATTCAGTGAGATACTCATAGGCCTTGTTCATGTTGTGGCTTGTAGCCACATTTTGAATCCAATTTCCCAGCAAGAGAGGACAGTGGAGGGAGGACAGTGGGGCCCAGGGCGGTGCGAGAAGCAGGAAAGGAACCGCAGAGAGCAGCGCGTGCAGCGAGGTCCCCAGTGAGCGTAGGAACGCGAGCCCAGCCTCCTGTCGCAAGCGGCGATAAGGATCCGGGCGCCCGGTGGTGGAGGGTGCGGTGGGGCGTGCCTGGGAAGCCCGGCCTCCGCCACCTCACGCCCGCGGACTCCCAGTCTCGGCGGAGGCAGGGGAGAGCGTAGACTTCAGTCGACGAATGGGGACGACTCGCGTCAGCCACCGCCGCGGCTGGGCTGGGGCGCGGGCGAGTGCGCGTGCGCGGCTCGCGCGCGCGCACTGGGGATCGAGTGTGCAGGAAAAGCGCGAGCTCGTCTGCGCGCGGCCGGGCTTCCTGGGCGGTGGGTTCTCCTTGCGACAGGCGGCGGCGCAGTGTCCTAACTGTGACGGCGGTGGCTGCTCCAGACACGGGCGGCGGCGGCAGTGACGGCGGCGGCGGCGGCAGCAGCAGCAGCAGCAGCGGGCGCGGAGATGTGGCCCCTGGTGGTGCTGCTGCTGCTGAGCTTGGCTTCTTGCGGTGAGTGGCCCCTCGATCGCGGTTCTGCTAATCGCTTTTCATCCCCTCCGCGGCGCCACCGCGGGTGTGCTGGCGTGCGGGCTGTATCCCGGCTGGTTCCGCCGGGTGAGAGGGTGGCCGGGGTGTTGGATGTGCGGGCCCTACGTGCCCCGTTGCGAACGTGGGAGGGCCCGGCGGGTAATGAGGCGCCCCCTTCCTTCCTCTCTCCCTCCTCATCTTCCCATGGGTGACAGCAGGGCTCACCTCCTTCCCCTGTTTCTCCGCCTCCAGAAGCACACACCAAGACTCCAAAACAGAAACCGAGAGCGCAAATTAACCGTTGAGAGAAAGGGCGCAATCGGAGGCGAGTAGGTGGCAGCTGTTACGGTCCCCCCTTTTTCGCACCCCTCTTCCCTCCTCTGTTTCAGTGCGTGGGGATGAGGGAGGGAGAGTGAGAGAGCCCGGGCCTCTTGCAATGGAAGTGCGCATTTTGGGAAAGTCTGCAAAACGGGTTTTGTTTTTTGTTTTTTTTCTTGTTTGCCCTCTCACATGAGCAGAGGAATTAAGGGGACGGACAAAACGGATACAATTAAGTTTTATTTCTATCCCACCATTTAATCAGGAGACTCCTCTGGCCGTCTTTCTTAAAAAATTATTAAACCCTAGAAATAGGCTTCCTGGAAACTCTCGCTACCCCCAGGCCACACCAGCCACTTTAATACTGTCCAAATTGTACATTCAAGTTTCCCCGCTTTATTTTGGGAAACGTTTAACAGTAGTACAGATTTCGCTTGATATATGAAGACAGTAACCCCCAGTCAAAATATATTTGCAGCTAAGTGGGATTTGGTGTTCCACGCCGAAAGCGTTTTGGCCCCGAAGCATTTGGAAGCTTTAAAAAAAAAAAAAGTGTTCTTCGTAAAAACTGGGGAAGGAATAGGAGTTTTTTGTGGCTCTATAGGCAGTGCCTTCTGTGAACTTTTTGTAAGATTCAAATTGAGTTTGAGTACCAGTAACATGCAATTTTTATATTTAATTCTAGAATGCTAAATTAATTAGAATTTAAATGGATTATTAGCCTCACTGCGCCATTTCATAAAAGATTGTGACTTCAGCTGTTCTCAAGATGCTCTTAAGACCCTGCTTATCACTTTCTCCACTCTGCATATTCTGGGATGTTGGAACTGTTAATACTCACTGTATCTGTTATCTAAATGGTTGCATTAGTAAAGTAGTGTTTTCTGTCATCATCAGTGACTTGTTGCTATTACTATAATAATAGCTGAAATAATACTGCTTTCAGAAACCTGATCATTTCTGGTAATACTGATCAGAAAGCATGTTGAACCAGATTATAAATTTGTGACAAAATATCACTAGTTCAGACTGTAGACATCAAAAGCTAACCTGAAGAATAAAAACTATAAATCATGTGCTGTTTTAAAAACAGGGTCCTCTTTTCAAGTAGAATAGAAAGGACTGCTAGAATGGTACTTTTGGGGATAGGAATTCTGTTAGGCCTCCTTTAATAATAGTTAAAGTTATATATAATTAACGCTTATTTACAACTAATATTAGTGTGCTCAAGTCCCTAGAGAGTCTTAGAATTGAAGATTTATAGTATTTTGTTGTAGTTAGTAACTCAAAAAAATGTAAAAAACTGAATAAAGGCATTATGCATTTGAGTTCTGTTAAGTGTTGAATATAAACCAGGAAGTGATAGTATCTGCCATAAAACACAATGGATTTTTGGGTGTGTGTTTAATAATTAATTTTAAAAGGATATGTTTGAATAGATGCTAACAGCCTCAGAACACAAGTAATTATAAACCAAGGTATTTGAGACTGAATTTAGAATCTAGAACAAGGAAGAAAGTCCATGGATTTGCACATTCATTTGTACTCTATCTTTGACTTTGCTTTCAATTTCCTGTAAACGACTGTTAATCAAAGAACATTTCCTGACAGGCTCTACAGTTTTAGTTCACCTTTGTAATAAAATAAGTTATCTAGACTGCCCGTTTGATCTAATTACAGGGAAAATGTAAGCCCCTGTATTGGCTTACAGATGCAGAATGAATTATTATGCTCCTTTCCTGCCCCATTCCCATATGTCCAATTATACTTTGTTTAAAAGCACATCAACATTTTCAGTGATATTCACAAACTGGTAAATAAAACCTTACTCACATAATGACAATGTATAAACTGCCAGTGGTTGAATCACTTTTCAAAGTGACTTTTTAAAATCAAGGGTATACATGATTAAAAAACATGTTTATTGTCTAAGTCTAGTAGTAATTTGGCTTGCTTAAAAGAAAATGTTTTCTCCTCAAAAAATATATTACCTTTAAACACAAGTTGCCATTTTAAGGAATTTAATGCCTCTTTAAAAGTACTTATTTATGGGGCCGCCCCAGCAGTCTAGAGGCAATGTGTCAAAGCATGATACTAAATGTCTACCATTAGGAGATTTGCTCATGCTGTCCTCTGTATTTTGGCAGATGTTTTATCTTTGCCACTGAGTTGTTAATGGAGTTTTGAAAGGCCAGGTTCTAAAAATGAGAATAGGTGTTTTTGATAAATATTGTAAATCCAAAATTATCACTTTATATTATTAAAACTAAGTTTGTATTCTTTAATGTCAATATAACTATTCCTAGTATAGACACTGTTTTTAAGACATTAATGTTGTTTTTGTGACACAATTTTCATAAAGTCATTTACCCATCTTTTAGGTTTTTACTGTCAGTAGCTTTTTATACAAAACAAGAGATTCTATGTTTTTATATCTTGTGTCTCAGCCTTGTGTCTCAGACTCTTGGGTTGTCATAAAGCTACTTTGACTTGTACTAGTGCAGATATTTTTTCTATGATAACAGAACAAGAATAATAGTGTAGGATCAATGTTGCTGGGCTCATTGTAATACTAAAGAAAAAAATATAGAGCACCCAGGAAATTTGATTCTGAAAGACTTAACACAGTAGAACGTGGATTTTCTCTCTTTGTGGTTATGTGGAGTGAAACAGAAATCCCTTCTCTACTTCATTCCATATCCACGGAGCAGTCGTATATGACTCAGAATCTGGTCAGCCAGGGGTTTGAGAATAATTGTGCATATTTGAATATATGTCACACTTACAAATTAAAAGACAAAGTAGGGAGTTTGGCAAGTACAGGGTCTGTCAAAATTGCCTTTTTCTGTTTCAAGCCAAGTAGGAGCTCTTGCTATGCTCCAAGCACTTTGCAAGGCCCTCTTGGACACAGAGACAAATTTCAGACTCTGTACCCCTTAATAACATAAAGTATAGTGTATAGATAGCAGGGATTTTTTGTTTTTATCCTTCAGTGGTACTTAATATATTTTAAGTGCTTGATAAGGCCTTAATTCTGTATGTTGCTGACTTTAAACTGCCCTTCCCCCTGTAATTCTAGGTCAACCACTTCAATTCTTGTAAGGCCATTTCAGAATCTAGTGAGGGCTTACTTTGAGCCAGAACTAAACACTTTGTGGACACCCCTACTTTATTTCAGACCTTATTTGATCTCTATTGAGGACAGATATGACTAAATCCTCCTTTTTGACCCTAATTCTAACCCAATTCATTTTGAGGCTCCAGTTTTTCATACCAGAGTCAAGATCTGATGGCAGAAAGAATTTATTTCTAGCAGGAATCTTTACTCATGAGCTTTGCTTCATTTACCTTAGTGATGGCTGGGGCTTCTAACCCATTCCTAAACATCCATTCCAAGCAGATAATTAACTTCCTACTCTGCTGCTGCTGCAAAAAAAAAAAAAAAAAAAAAAAAAAATGGTGATGTGTGGTGTAGACTCTCTCAACTTCCCTCCATCATTTTTAAACTTATCTATAATATCTCAGGAAACCTACTTCTCTTTCCCTTTCTCACCCAGTTTCAGAAGTATACCTATTTACTCTTTTAAGGAGAAGATCGCCTATTTACAGCTCTTTCACTTCCACCATCTTGGAGACCTACCTATTCAGTTTAATTCATTAGTCTTATAGCTTAGATCTTTCTTCCTCCATTGGTTCTTTCACCTTAGCTTGCAGACATGCTGAAGTTTTATCCCGTATTAAAAACAAACAAGCAAGAAGAAACAAAACAAATCTTGCCCTTGTCCCTGCCTCCACACTCCTTCCACTTCCGCCTTCTCTCTCTGCTCTCTTAAACTGCCAAGTTTATAGAGAAGATAATTGCCTCTTCTTTCTCCCTTCCCAAATGCAGCCTGACTTCTTATCCCACTAGTCTCTTGACATTGCTGCAGATAAAGAAACTAATGTAATTTTTAATGTAGAGGCTGTTTGTATTTATCCCACTTACCATCTATTTTGTCCACATTAAGACCTTTCCTTGATGTCTGCAGTAGAGTTCTTTGCTGCCTCACCTACTTCTCCCATTACTTCATGCTTTCTTAGTTTGTTCCTTTTTAACTATTTTCTCCATAAACATTGGTATTCCCAAACATTTAATTCTCTGGTACCTGCTCTATTGCTTTGCAAGGGCTCTCTGGACAATATTGTTTATGCTCATGATTTCAATTATCAGCTATATTCTTGGTGATTCACAAGTCTTTGTAGCTCCAACCTTTCTCCTTAAACCTAGATCCACATATCCTGGGATCTACTGAACATCTCCATTTCATTGTACCACAGATACTTAATACTTGGCCTATTAAATATTAAAAGAATATTTTCCCCCTAAATTTCCTACATCTTTTCTCTCTATGGTTAATCCACAATCTGTTATACATACTATTTTGGTTAACAACTGTAACTCTTTCATGTTCTCTCCCCTTACTTCCCATGTCTAATTTATGTTGATTTTACTTCTTTGTTTTTTACTATAATTTTTGGTCTTCTCTCCAGTTGGTCTTTACCTGGACTATTGCTAAATGGGCCTCCTATTCTTATCTCCCTTCCTGCCCTCAATTCACCCTCCATATTGCTTTATTATTCTTTTCAACATAAGTTAATCTGAGTGGTTTGCTATTGCTTATTTT